TTTTTTTTTGTGTGTGAAAAGGTTGGCTAATCCAGCGGCCTAACTCAGTTGGTAAGGCTCGCAAGTGGCATTCAGGAGGTCGCGGGTTCAATCCCCATTGGGCTCATGTACCTTCCTGGGCATGCTTGGCGCCTGCCACCTAAAGATAGACCACTGGATCCCCCGATCGGCATTGAGCAGAGTCTGCTGATGTTCGTAGGGGAGGGGACCTGAGGGGAGGCACAGGGATTGCTCCTGTTGGCATGGTCCCTGATGCTACAGGCTGTCCCCTAGCCTGTATCGCCCACCTGCAGGTCGGGAGCAGCCCCCGCATGTTCTCTCGTGAACACGGTTCTGGCTGCTACGGGGTTCCCTGTATGCCTACAATTAGGAGTAGTGGTAGGTAGGTAGTGTGAGGTGAAATTGAGAGAGGAATATAGCTTAAAAAAAAAAAGAAAAAAAAAGGTTGGCTTTTCAGGCCTGGTGCATGCAGGGGACGGGATTTCAGTTCCTAAATATTTTCTGGCCTCTGTTTTCTGTTTTGAAAATTCCAAGGGTTATTAGTTGTAAGTAGTTTTCCCAGCCAAATGGCTGTAAGAGAAACCGGCTGATGCTGCCAGGATAACTCTGGGTTGGATTGTGTGGCTGATGCTGCCAGGATAACTCCGGGTTGAATTGTGAGGTCCCCAGCTTCTTGTTTCCGCTTGGAATAAAAAGAGATTAGGAAAAAAAAGAAAAAAAGAAAAAGAGAAAAGGTTGGCATCGGACAAAATTTCAGAAAATTCGTCAATGCCTCTTATATAGCAGTGCTAGCCGTAGAATCCTAGAGAACAGGTGCATATTGGAAACATTCCAAGTCTTGAGATCCTTAAGACAGGGATGCTCTCTGGCACCATCCCTGTTTGTAATCCAGATGGAAATCCTGCTTAGTATGGTAACGAAACATCCGAACTACACAAGCCAACCCAATGTACCCATTGCCCCAACATTCACTCTATCTGTTTGGGCACTCGCAGATGAATTTACCGCAATTTCAGAAAACTCAGTAGACTCCCTGACTGCTCACCAATTCACCAGCACCTACGAAGTAGCCCCGGAGATGAGAGTGAGCT